ATCTGAAAGGCTGGCAGAGGTGTGGGTGGATAAATGGCAGAGAGTATCAAAGAGTATGGCAGGGGCAGCTTAGATGGATGGTCCTGCTGAAAAACACCCCTGTTTGTCAAACTGCTGCCTGATATCTGAGGCAGAACATGTTCTGTGCAGGGCTAACACAATGTGCTGCCTGTTGGCTGCCTGTTACTGGCACGTTCCTGAGCGTTGCTTTCAGGAGAAGATTCTTTGGGATGATGTCCCTGATAAGAAATGGCAAACTGTAGAATAATATGATAAAGAACTGAAATGCTGAGTAGTAAATAGTTGTAGAAAATTCCTGACTCAGCATTCATCCCTGTTGGACATCCAACAGTGCTTCCAGTAACTTTCATAATTCCATGTTAGAAGGGGAGCTGTTATAGGAGTGTTGCAGAAGGCTGGACCACTGGAAGATGAAGAAAGCTGCTGGGAAGAGGAGTGTTGGGTCAGAAACAAGGATCAATAAGATGCCAGGGCATCCCAGCAGAGCCCTGCAGAGGCACTGGAGCTGCCTGGTGCAGTCACTCGGGGCACCCACAGCAGTGGGGATATTGTGTGTCACAGACACATCTGCCACGTCTGCCAGAGCACAGTGGGACCTTGTTCCAGCACAGACATGGTAGCAGCTTGTCTGGAAAATAATTTTTGGCAAGGGTCAACTTAAACAGCTTTGTTCTGCCTCAGTCAGCTCTCAAATGCTGAATGGATCATGGCAGATCTTGAAGTGCAGAGATGCTTGTGGGGGTCGTGTCAGGGAAAGAACACGGAGCCCTGGGCTGGTGCCTGTGGAAGGAATCTGGATCAACTGCTGGAAGATCATTGCCCAGAAGCAATTGAGAATCCCACCAGCAAACTGGGAGCAGATTTATAATGGTGATCCCATTGCAGATCCTTCTGAAATCTCCCATTGTCCCCAGACCACAGTGAGTATGTGTTTCCATCTCCCCATTTCAAGATGTTTTGTTTTAATTAAATGAATTTAATTTAAATAGAATGAAAAATATGGGCAAAATTATGTGGTGGCAGCTGCTCTCTGAGGAACAAACTCATAAAAATAATGTGGTGAGAAATTAGTCTGATTCCAGCATAATATGACCCAAATTTGAAATAACACTGACACCCTGTGGAGATATTTGGAGGGAACTTCTCCAGGTCTTGCTGATCCTTGTTTCTGATACTATAGGCCAGTGATTAGATCAATTCATGCCATCTTTTAGAGAAACTTTTTTTTCCAATGAAGTTTTTTTTGTCTTTAATGTCAGATTAAAAAGTTAAAAATCCTTTGTATCTTTTTTATTAGAAATACTTCTTTAATCCTTTGTGTAAACCACAAAAGCTCATTTACCAAACAGATGATGATGAGGCAAGATCTGAAGAATTGCACCTGCAGTGGGATGAGTTTCCTAAAGGACTTTGTTCTGCACAGCTGGAAGCATTGGAGGGAGCTGCTTCATGGCAAGGTGAAGTCAGGATGGTAAGCATTCCCTTTCCAGTCTGGACTCTTATTTAAATGTGTAAGAGCTGCAAAGTTTAATGGTAAATGTGTGCTGTGAATATGCAGAGGAGTAGCTTTGTGTTTGTTCATGCTGCAGGTCACTCAGAGGATGGTCTGGCTCTTTGGAACATGTCCTGGATGCCTTCCTGTGCTTGTGCTCTGGTCTGACTCTGGGCAGAGAGCATCCCAGTTAAAAAGGGATCAGTTTCCCTTCTCACTCCAGGCTGAGCACAGGATTCCCTTCCCGTGCAGGATTAAAGATCAGAAAGGGAAGGGGGATGTTTGAGGAGGCTCCTGGTGATGTGAGTGCAGGGGAAGGCATGGCAGCCTGGGAGCTGTCCCTTTCCTCATGTGCTGGCTGGAACACCTGAGTGCTGCAAGTCTTCACCTTGCAACTCTCTTCACCTTGAGAGTTGCCTGGTCTGATTGATTTCCTCCAAGGGTGATAGGATGTTTAATTCCCAGATGTTTACATTGTCTGCAGAAGGGGAAACTGAGACAAACTGGGATGAGCAGACCCAGAATGTGTAGTAGAAATGAGCTGTCATATAAACTCAGTTTGCTAGAGTTGGAGTTGTTGATCTTTGTGGGTTAGCAAGGTTGGATATCATTAGTCTTACACTTCAGGAATCATTCTCCCACTGAAGGAATGGTGCCGGTTGACCAGCCTCAGTTCTAGACCCCCACTCCACCCTAGAGGAAGTTTGAGCTCCAGTATATCAGTGACTATAAAGATGCCATCTCCCATCTCAAAATCACAGCAATTTCAGACTATGGTATGGTTTTCCTTCACCTTCAGCTAAGTCACCCCTCCCTGAGCCCTGTGCTTTCATCCTGCTGAGATCAGTGAGCAGAGCTGCAGCCCTGGGAGCAGTGATCTGGCCAAGCATAATTTCCAGGAGAGATCCCATCCCAGTGAACAAGGAAGGGATTTCTGCAGAGAGACAGTGTGTCCATTCAGAACCATCTTTGAGATTAAAAGTATTTATAGACACTGAAAAAATTCTCACAGATAGATCCAGCTTCCAAGACAGGAGCTGTTCATGGAAATAGAATTAGACTTGGCATGTGAATAGCTTAGCTCCAAAAAGACTGGCCTTGCTCCCTCCTTGTCTTTACCCCACTGAAAGTTCTCCTGATTGTGCTCCAGATACAATATCCACAGCTTTGCATGGAGCTCACAATGCCAAACCACCTTTGATCCTGAGGATTGCTGTTCACAGAGGGGCATTTCCTTTCAGTTGTCTCTGGAATTTGCTGCCACTGAACACCATCACAACTTTCTGAGCAAAAGGGGAATTTACCCTGCATTCTGCAGCAGTTACCTACAGCCCTGAAGGGAAACCATCAAGGGGGTTATCTGTAAGGAAGTGTCAGCTGGTAGCCATGGAGGACACTCAGCATCAATTACGCCTTTAGTAAGGTTGGGTAAATTTGATTGATGTCTTGAATCACCAGGAGAGGAATTAGAGGCCTTTTTCATGAAAGCAGTTTTCATTCTGTAGCAGCCAAGTTGGGGTCAAGGTTAAATGACTTAGAAGTTCTCCAGGTCAGTTCTTAAGGCTGTGTTCAGGATCTTTGCTGTGACCCCTCTCTTTCAGGAGGCTCACATGAAGAAGGAAGGACTTTCATACCAGGAATCTGATAAAGGTCACACATTAAAATTAAATCCCCACATTCTGGTGACAGCCTGAGAAAGTGACAGGAAGAACCATAAGAGTCACTGCACAGCTTACTTGGCTTGTTCTGAAGTCAGTGAGTCATGATTTAAATATCTGGAGTTATTTTGGACTAATACCCAGGTACAAGAGAAGATGCACAACAGCCTGGGTGGCATGTTGTCACAACACAGTGACTTGTTTCAACCCCTCAGCTGAACAGAGCTTCATTTGTTGTGAGAAGCTTGAGAATTGCTTTAATCCAGTATCTCAAACACTTCTGTTATTTCTAGAGTGAAAGAAAGGTAAAACCTTGGCACTGTGGTTACTGCCCCTTTTCCTTGGCACCATCTGTCTCTGTGGAGTTTGCTTTCCAAGCAAGACTGTCTCTCTTCTCCCTTTCTTTTTCCCAGGATGTGTGCTGAACTCTCATATTTTACAGAAGGCTCAGAACAATGCCCACTGCTTTTATTCATAGAATCACAGAATGGTTTCAGTTGAAACAGGATCTAAAGGATCCTCTAGTTCCAACTCCTTGCCATGGGCCGGGATTCTACTTTACAAAAGTTGATTTTGGGCACTGATGCTTCATGAAATTGCCAAACTAGTCTTGCACTTTAACTTAAAATTACTCTGAATTTTAAAAATAGATTTAAAAAAATATTATTTTATCCAGTTTCAGTCAATTTGAAATGGCTACTCCAGTGCCCTTGTCAGATTTCCAGTATGTGCAGCTCTGATGAGATGTTAATGATCCCCAAGGTCTCTGTCTTCTCCTGGCACAGTCTCTGGTGAAAGGATGCAGAGGGGAGTTTGTTGTCTTCCATAGGACCCCAACAAACATCTGGGCTTTGTTTAACTGCTCTTGGTTTCCTTCTCCCAAGGGACCAGCACTCTTCCCCCTCTCCACAAGGAGACTTGGTCTGTAGTGAGCTGGTGGCTGCTCCTCCAGCGAATGAAGTTGGGATTATAAACTCTCATGCAGGAGAACAGGCAGGAGCAGGCACAGGGCCATCAAAGGTACATAGGAGATGAGGAGGCAGGGAGAATAAAATCAGCTTTGTGCAATGCAAATGTGCATTGCTGTTCCCTTAAAGCCTTTGTGCTCAGGTGGAGAGGTGACGCCTTCGTGGTGCTGTCAATTAGACGGCAAATAAGCACTGTTTAATTTGTGGTGACATTTAAAAGCAATTAAGGAAGTTTAAATGTTAAATGTGTGTTTTTGTCTTTCCAGTTAAACACAGTTTTGGAGGAAAAAAATATCCCAAATATTTAATTACACACAACTGTAGAAATAAGCCTGACAGTTTTAATGCCTCGTGTAACTAAGGGTCTGGCCTTTTTGACAATGTCATGCTGTAGTCCCAGTGAAAGCTTTCTTGTGGTGCCTTTCCACTGAGCAATGACCTTGTGGCCCTTCCTTTTCCCCACAGGTCACACTGTAGGCAAGGCAGGGGAAGGTGGGCACTGAGTTGGGTTCTGAGTTGAGTGAATTTCTCACACTGGTGTGAGAAGTCTTCCTGCACATTAAGTGCTCCTCAGCCCACCTGCCCTGTCCTTCCCTGGTGTCTGTCTCATGTCTCTTATGTTCTTTCACTATTCCCACTTCACAGATCCAAGGACTTCTCCTCCTGGGTAAGTCAAGGCAATGACCCCTGTTTGACTCTCCAGTGCCTGGCAGGAAGGAAGAGAGTTGGGGTGGCACCTTTTCAGCTGCAGAGTTTCCATCCAAGACTCAGTGCTTGATACCTGACCTCAGAGGCACCCTGCCTCAAATTATTTCTGTGCCTTCAGCTTATTAACACATGGCTTTATTTTTTACAGGTATCTTCTGCAAAGCCATGCTTAACATGCTTTGCTAGGTCTAAGTGTCATCCTTGACTCAGGAATCTCCTTTATATAGTATAAATCTGATTTCAGCCTGCTGCTAGGATCACACAGCTCTTTGAATAAGAAGATCTGTGCAGTATCTGGTGAGAGTGTATGTTGATTTAAAGCTTTCTCCTTTTGAGCATGGAGAGGTTCTCCTGGAGCAGATAGAATTATTTCACAGCCTCTATGGCTTCCTTCCCACAGCTTTTGAGATGGCCCTTTGACTGCTGTTCTTCCCCAGACAGACCTTGTTCTGCAGCCTGAGACAGTCCTTATTCCTTATTCCAGCTCTTTCTCTTGATCTTCCTGGGCTCTGTCTGCTCTTGGCAAGGATAACAAACCTCTTCTGCCTGTCAGCTTTGGAAGATGATGGCCTTTCATGACCACCCTGTGTCCTGCTGGTCCCTGGCTACCCAACACCCCCAGCCCCATGTCTTGTCTGTAACCTGATGCACTTGCCCACTGCTTAGCCCATAATGTATCTATAGCTGTAGACAATTGCTCAGCACTTAAATATTAACATGCTAATTAATAATGAAAGCTGAGATTGTAGTTAGGTTTAAAACTTTAATTGGGTGAGGAGTAGTCCATAACAATGAAACTGTGTTATTAATATCTATATATCTATGTGTTTAAATATCTTTCCCTCTATCAATAGCATTGCACAAGAGAAGTAGCCTGAGTGTGGATATCTGCAAAGATGTTTTCTTGAGGCACTTGGAACCTTGCAGCAGGAAGTCATAAAGCACTAGGTATGGGTTTGGTTTTTTTTCAAAGGGTTTTTTAAAAGGCCCATTAAAAGTTTTCGTTCCGAGTCCTAAAAATGGAGGAGGGAAAGGGAAAATTCCTGGAAAGAAATACATTTATTTTCCACTTCAGGCCAGTCTGCAAGTGCAGCATTTGTTCCAGTGTTAAAGCAGCCCAAGCTACTGCAGTCAACTATGTTGGACACAATTATCTGAGAGGTCTTTTCCAGCCTAAACGATTCTGTGAAAACGGACTAAAAAAGGATGAAGAACAGCAAGTGGAGCAGAAGCAATGGAGAAAACGGTGAGGAGCTGTGGAGGAAGGGGATGCACGGGCTTTAGCTGTGGTGGGTGTGTGCAGGACTGGAATATCCGTGAGCCCCGTGCTCTGCCGTGGTGTTCCTGCGAGCACATTTCGGTGCTGCTGGGTGGAGGCTCCTGCTGAGACAGGCTGGCATTGCACCAGCTGCGCATTCCTGCCAAACTTCCAGCGCAGCCTGCCAGAGTGAATTGACACTGGATCGTTATTTTATATTGGGAGTGTGTGAGCGTAGAGGGGAAATTTAAATTAATATGTTAGTTGTAGTTGAACGGGGGGGAAATATTAAATTAATATGTTATTTGTAGTTGAACGGAGAGAGATAAAATTCTATTGATGTTATGGTTGAATAGCATCCAATTTATTGGTGCTAGATTATAAAAGGAAGTGTATTGCTCGGGATTGCATGTAGTCATAACGTGTAGTATAATAGGGCTATATAGTATAATAATACTCTTTAAGAGGGCTGTAATTCTAAATTAGAATTCTGTAATCCAAAGTGCGAGGAGCCAAGTGCCTCTGACGGCGGCGCGCGTTGTTACAGGACCCGTTGCCACAGCATCCTGCTCCCGCGGATCCTGCGCGCAAACACAGCTAAGTATTTTCCATATGCATTTGAAAACCATGTGTGACAAATGTGTGTTCGCTTGCTTCCACCCCGAAGCCAGGGACGTTCCCCGCAGCCGTGCCGCGGCACCGGCGGCGGCCGGGCCGGGTTAACCCCACCGCCGCTGCCGCCGCCCCATTGCCGGGCGCCCCCCCCCGCCGTTCCCATTGGAGGCGCCCGGCCGCGTCTCCCCGGTCGGGGCAGCGCTGGCGGCTGATTGGCGGGCGGGCGGCGCGCGGCGGGCGGGGCGGGCGCCCATTGGCTGGGAGGCGGGAGCGGGGCTCTGGGCGGCACCATGTTGTGGGACTGGCGGGGGCCGGCGGTGGCCGGGCCATGGCGGGCGGGCGGCGGGCGCGGTGAGTGCGGCGGGCGCGGGTGGCGGGGCCGGGCCGGCGGCGCCTGAGGGACGGGAGCGGGACGGGACGGGCCGCGGCGCTGCTGTGGCCCGGGGCGGGTATAGCGGGGACTCCCGGGCCTGGCGGCGGCAGGGAGGGACCGGAGGGGCGGCTGAGCGCCGGAGGGGCCCCTGGGGCCGGACCGGCGGCGGGAGAATCACAGGATCAGGGAGTCAGTGAGGCTGGAAAAGAGCTCCGAGATGGGCGAGTCCAGGCGCTGACCCAACAGCGCCTTGTCAACCTGACCACGGCACCGGGTGCCACGTCCAGGTTTTCCTTACCCACCTCCGGGGACGGTGACACCGCCGCCTCCCTGGGCAGCCCGTTCCGACGTCTAATCACCCTTACCGTGAAAAAATTCCTCCCCGTGTCCAACCCGAACCTCCACTGGCGCAGCTTGAGGCTCTGTACTCTTGTCCTATGGCTTTTTACCTGAGGGAAGAGCCCACCCTCACCTGGCCACAACCTCCTGTCAGGGAGTTGTGGAGAGCGAAGAGATCCGTCCCCCCGAGCTTCCTTTTCTCCAGGCTGAGCTCCCCCAGCGCCAGTCCTGTGCTCCAGAGCCTTCCCCAGCTCTGTTCCCTTCTCTGGACTCGCTCCAGCACCTCCACGTCCTTCCTGACAGGTCCGGCCCCGGACACCCCCGGCTGCGCCCGTGGTCGGCGGGGGCTGCACGGACGCAGCTCTGGCAGATGGGGATTTTTATCTACACTCCTGCCGTTCATTCCTCTTCTGGATGCTCGCTTTGAGCTGGGGACGGAGCCCCGTACAGCTGTGAAGCCTCTCTGGCCATCTGTTAACCCTTGGGAACAGCCGTGTGCACCGCGGGCTCTCACCGAGTGCCAGTCGCAGCTTGGCGAAGGTCGTTGTCCACTGGTGGAAAAATACAGTGTGTGGCCATAGAAGCGCTGACTGTGGTTGTCAAAGGCATGGGTTTAACCCTTTTTAAGGATATCTCTCTTTGGATCCTTTCTGGATACAGATGTGCATAAGCACTGCAGCTGTTTCATTGTACCTTCTGAGGCCATACAACATCCATAGTGCTTTAGGGATTGAGCAAACAGAGTAAACTGTAAAATGTAGATCCTAGGTTTGCAGTGGTTCATTGTGAGCCCACCTAGTATTTATTACAGAACAGGCATTCTTGTGTTTTGTTTTAATTTGAAAATTACTCTGTGCACCCATTGTGTCCTTAAGTCTGACCTACACAGTCACTACAAGATTTGCCTCCATTTGAGGTACAAAGTTTATTTTGCTTCGTGGTACAAAGTCGTCAGCTTGGTTCTGACACCAAAATCCCACTGCCTCTCCTCAGGAGTGGAGGAGGCTGATTGGCACCATCCTGCAGCAGAGACAGGCTCATCACTGCTAAAATCCAGATGGGTACATGGACCCTCGTTGAATTTTTAATGTCAGTCTTATGTAGGAGATGAATAAACATGTCAAGTGGAGAAGGGAAACTGCAGAATTTTCTCACTGCCTTGGCTTCCTTTCCAAGTAGAACAAGGCTCCCTAAAGCATTTCCAGCTGGCTTTGTTGACCCGTAGTGGTCAGGTGGAATGTCAGTAACTGGGATGGGAACAAGGGAGAGTTGTTCTGGCTGTCTTCTGACCAGGTCCGAGCACCCTCTGTATCAGGGCCCTTGGCTCCAGACCCTGTCCTGCACCATTCCCCGTTTCAGTGCTCCCAATCCCTCCCTGCCCACGTGGCATTCCCAGCTCCCTGCCCCTACCAGCTGTGTGTTCTTGGGTTGCCCACATGGCCAAGGCAAGCAGACAACTGTTGAGCCAACACTGCAGCACCCCTGGCTGCCAGCTTCCAATAAACACATAAACCCTGTCTTCAAAACATCTACTGTCCTCTCAGATGTGTTTGGAATTAGCTGGTAGATCTAAATGAAAAGTGTGATTATATAAACTTTGTTTCCATAGGAAACAGCACTTGGTGGAAAGTCATTCTGCAAGGAGGATTAATGCAGCCGGGTTTCTTGAGGAGTTGTTTCCACATCCTACCCCAGCAACTCCTGCCTGGCTCCCACGGGCCTCAGTGCCTGGTGGCTTCTCCTTCCTCAGGGCTGCACCCAGGAGCTGCTTGTATCCCAATCCACCCTGTCCTTATTTGTGCAGCCAGCTGAGTCAGGTGTTCCTGTTTGCTGTGCCTGCAGCTGGGAAAGATTCAGGATATTTACCCACTTGTCCTTGGCTTCTCAAGGCTTCTGTCCTCTATCTGGCCTGTGGTTTTTATAAAGCTCATGCAAGTAGTCCTCTGACAAATTTGGCAGAAATGCAGGTGACAGATTCTAAAGTTATAACAGGCCAAGGTGGGCAGACAAAAGGACAAAATTATTCTGTTTTTTTTCCAAAGCTGTGTGAGAATATTTCAGGCAGTTCCTGATTGTTGCAGCTGCAGGCAGAGATACTGCAGTGGTTAAAATGCTTGTGGTCTTTCATATTTATCAGTATTGTAGCTCTCAACCAGGGGTGCAGTTGTGTTTGTGGAAAGTTTGAGTGTAGACTGTGCCAGATTTTGCCTGTAGATAATGAGGCTTTTAAGAGGAAAGGAGATGGAGAAACAGCAGACAAGTAAATACGTGGGAAGCCTTGAGCACTAGATGACTAAACTTGTACACAAGGCAGGCAGCACACAGAGAGTGGAAGTGACAGAATGAGTCTGAGAAATCCAAGGAGAGGTCTGTGGGAGCCTGCCTGTGGAAACTGGAATAACAAGGCTCACACAGAGAAGGGAAGCATGAGCACCAAGGAGCTGGCCAGAGAGGGGAGGATAGGAAGGAAGATTGATCTGGTGAGACTGAAGGATGTTTTGGGAAGAGGAAAATGTCACTACTGTATACTATGTTTCTTCAAGGCGTTTTCCAGGATTTACTGGAGAACTTCTAAAGGCCTTTTGATAGGTGATCCCAAAAGGTATAGTGTATATAAGAAAAACCCCATGCATTAAATGGGAATTAGACTCTACTTCCACCATATCCATTTCAGATCAGTGTCTGCTTGAGGTATGATTTTTTGTGTATTTGTGCTGCCAAACTAAACCTTTGCCTGCCCCCAGACCTGATTTGTGACTTGGAGCATAATGAAGTCCTGGCAAATTGTACACACAAGTATTTTTGACATAGCAGCTAAAAAGCTTTATGATATAAAAATAAGATTGTGATATTAGGCTATGAGGCACGCCATTGATTTTGTGACTCCAATAAAAAATGTCGTGTGGGATTTTTCTGGTAACTTTGTTGGCTGCTTATAGTATCTGTAATTTTTGTAGCAGGCAAATTGCATGCTGTTTTTTGAACTGGGAGTGAAGTGGTCTGATGTTGGTATTTAATGCCAGAAGACATGCTTTAATTCGTGTGTTTGTGTGCATGGTGACCCCACCATGATACTGAGGAGATGATGTTATTTGTATATTGAGTTGGAAAACTCATACTTGCTGAGAATACAGACCTGGTTGTAATAAGAGAAAAAATTGATCAGGAAATTTCCCAAAGAGGTAGCGAAAAACAAGAAGTATTTCTTTTGCAAACCTTGCAGTTGACTACAGCATTAAAAAGCTGCTAGGGCTGTTTATTTCTGGCTGTTTTCTCTTTTTGACTGGGTTTACTTTTGTCATTGTCTAAGACCCTTTTGCCATTCGTTGCACAGTTCTGCTCACACTCAGCTTATTTTTTCCTTTTTAAAATTTTGGTGGTGTATTGTTATTTCACTTTTCTCATCTCTGACCTCATTCCAGGGCCATTCCTCATTCCAGCTTGACACTTCTGGAGTTCTCATAATCTTCCTCTCCATTCCAAGCCTTTGCCAAAGACTTGTCTTTTTCAAATTACTTTCTTCCAAAACGACATAAATATTTTCTTACTTCGCCTCAACGCTGTCACCCTTGCCATCTTCAATTTAAAACAGTAAACTCAAGTTCTTGCTGCCCGTGGTAAACTTGTTCATAAAAGGATTCAATTCCCTTGGCTTGCAGAGCAGAGAGTGTCATGTTGGCACCAAGGAGCAAAGTGCAAGCTGTGCGTGGAGCACTGGGAAATTGATTGCATGGCAACCTCGGGGTTGCTTTGGTGTTTGTTGGAGGAAAGCAGCAGATGACTCATGTCCTCAGATGTCACTAAAACGTGAGAGCCCACTCACCAGCAAATAAATAGTTAAATATTGAATTTTATTTATTTTTGTAAATTCTGTTTACCTCCTTGGAGGGTTTCAGCCAAAATCAGTTTCAAAGCCCTCACAAAACATAAACTAAGAAAATTACCTTTATTTTAAGTGACTGAAGTTGTATTCTCCCCACGAGTCTCACGAAGAATATCAGAGAAACTCAGCATTCCTGGAAATCAGTCTAGAAAAGTGAGTGCTCATCTTGAGCTCCAGAGGTGTGGAACATCCTCCTCTGAGCTTTGGTGCTTTAGGCAGCCAGCACGGGGCTGCGAGGCTTTCTTCAGATGTGTGTGTGCATACACATATTCCATAGTGAGGAGTAACTGTTCTGAAATGACCTCTGTTCTTCTGCCTAGCTTCTTACAAACTCTAGTGGATTTTACAAATGAATAGAAGCAGTGCTCAAAATTACTCGGAATTAGTGATTTTAAAGAGGTGAATTATGTAGTTAAAATGTGAGGGTGAGGGTGCAGCCAATCCACTTTGCTTGTCTGCTTAAGTTTAAGAATAATGTGATTATTATTTAAGGATCTCTTCCTGGGTGAGTCTATCTGCAGGAATGAGAGCTTTTGGGTCAGGTGCATCTTCCTTGTCTGTACTTCACATTCTTGTACTTGCAGTCGGTAATGTGCAAGGTAGCAGTGCTGTCTGGAGAAGAACAGGCTGCCAAAACA